CATGCCCCCGGACCCCCCTAGACAAACCTCGCACCTGCGGCGCTCGGCTCGTGCCTTCGGCCCTCGTTTATCAAGGGTAATATTATAGGGGCGCATATAAGTTGCCTGCCGACTGGCCCCCCCAGAAAAATAGTACCCAGCACGACACTGTGTTGGAGTATAAGGCGACGTTCTTCACTGACCTATAAAACCTTTCTTTGGATGTTCAGGGCTAGGATTAGCCATTTCCTAGAATTAATAAACACTGAATTTAGACTAATATAAATGATAAAAAATAAATTGGCAACCTAGTAAACAACAAAATACCACATTACGAAACGTCGTGAAGTTCTTGTTTATATAATTGATCACTCAAGTAAAAACATCATAATTATTACTTCATTCTTTGATATACTCACTGCTTTCACTCCACAAACAATTGTTGTATTTCCCAACTTTACAATGGACGATCCTTCCGCAGTAGCAATCGATCCTAAAATAAAATGTGTAATTAATGGTCGTTCAGCCTAAAGTACTAATTAAAACTTGCATTGGTGCACTGAAATAGATGACAGAATACTTCCTTTAGGTTTTGGGAAAAGTTAAAAATTAAAACAATATATAGATGAACTGACCAAACCCTCAATGTCAATAATATGCAGTACGGACGATAGGGACCTTACTGAAGCATGTACGAAGGCAACACGACGACAACAGTCAAAAGAAACTTCTTCAAATATATTATAGTGAAAAACAGTTGTTGTGTATTGTCTACTGTGTGAATTGAATACAGTTTGAGGAGAGTATAAAGACAAACTCTTTATGGTTGAAAACATTTCTGCTGAAGTACCACTTGTTGCGGTTTGAAATGTTTGCACAAGAGACGTGAAAGTCTCTGGTTTGCCGTTATAAAAGCGCTAACACATGCAACGTCATTTATTTTCTAAGAGATCAGGAATATCATTGTGTGAATATCCGTCGTCGTCGCGTTGTTTCTTAAGGTCCTAAATTCAATGATGCAGTACGATGAAAACAAACGAAAATGCGTAATTTCCAAACACTTTTTTGTGTCAATAAAGTTCTGTGAACTATGAATTTTCATTCACATGCTTCGGTCTTCTTTCAATCCCACTTCACGTTTTCCTAGCACAGTTCATGTATGCAAACGAGCAGGGTCTTCCCAAACTGTAAGAGTCTTTAACATCATGAACCAGGTTAGACTCAAGCCTTAATGGAAATGTTGTTTTAATGTAATTGAGGACAGGGCAGCGAGCGAAATGGTGATGTGGAAAACAGGCTTAAGTTGTTGAAGTCTTACTACTATTATTGACAAGCAAGTTAATTTTGGCTTGGAAATAAGTAGGAATGACACAAATTATTTAATATCTTCACCACATTTAGTTCAGAATTAAAACATTGTGCTGATATTAATTTGTATCATTCAGACTTATTGGACACCATCATACATATATGTCCGACACAAACTCAAAGTCATTAGACGTTTTGTCAGACGGCCCTGTACAAAAAAATATTTTAAGAACAGATACTTACCAATATTGATGACAGTGTTTCTAAACTGCAGCAAATCTCTGCCATCAGGTCGAATATTTTCCTCCTAAACCAGCCAGATATGAACAAAGGTAATGAACATAGTTATACATAGCATATCACATCTCACAATAAAATCTTGCAGTTGTGAGGTCTGTTTGAATAAACCAAAGCAAATACTTTCGCGTACATATAGTCATACCCTCGTTTGATATCATGCTTAGGAGGCGGTTTAAAGGAGTTGGAACATGGGCAGAGAAAAATTAGACAGGCAAGGCACAGGAAAGGAGAAAATGTACTTTCCTGCAGCTTTTTTGCAGCCCATGCCTCAACCACAGCTCCTTGAAACTGCCAGCTATGCAAGACCATCCTTTGGCTTTGCAGATGCTCAATATACGCTATCATGCAAGCATCGACTGAGGCTACTACACACTAAATCATTGAGAATCAAAGATATTTACTATATATATACGACTATTCTTTGTTTGAAAGCTGTGTATTCACATGTATGCAAGGTACATATTAATAATAAATTACAAAAGGTACATAAACAGACTATGGTTCTAAGCACAAACTGCAAGTGTAAAAAATCAAAGACCAAGACATAATACAAAGATACTCGGATTATACTGAACATTTGTATTTTTTCTTCGGGCAGTTACTATAATCGAGAAATTCAGATCTGACATCGACTACTGCTGCATTAATATTACGGGACCAATGCCTGGACCATAGACCAATCAGATGCTTTTGATATATCCCAGGTGGGTACTAAGTCAATGGCAGCAGTAGTGGAAGTCAAATCTTAACCTCAAATCTATTACATCTCCGGGCAATCCCGGTGTCCCAGTTGATTTGGACCCCCATAGATTTTGACCCCCTGGGTCCAAATCTCCTAGTGGATACAGACCCACCAGGATTCCAAATCTACTAGTAAATACAGACCCTGTACCCCATTGGCAGATTTGGAGCCCCTTCAAAAGTTAAATATATGTAATATATGTGAACACAATAATATAAACCAAATTCATAATGGCGATCAATCTGAAGTATTTTATCACTTTAAATATTTGTGATAAAGGTCACAAAATGTAAAATAGAAAATTAGAATATAGTGCAACTAAAATCTATGTACAGTCTTTGCCAACAACAAATCTACTATTAAATGGTTTTTAACAAAAGAGATAGAAATTGAATATAGCATTTGGATCGACTGATCAACACAAAACACAATTTTCATGAATGTTTTTAAACAATAAGTGATGGTGACTCATCTAAATGGAAGCCTGCAACTGTCCACTGATAGTTTTTAACAAAAGCATAGAAATAGCATATTAATAGAGCAACACAATTTTCATGAATGTTTTTAAACAATAAGTGATGGTGACTCATCTAAATGGAAGCCTGCAACTGTCCACTGATAGTTTTTAACAAAAGCATAGAAATAGCATATTAATAGAGCAACACAATTTTCATGAATGTTTTTAAACAATAAGTGATGGTGACTCATCTAAATGGAAGCCTGCAACTGTCCACTGATAGTTTTTAACAAAAGCATAGAAATAGCATATTAATAGAGCAACACAATTTTCATGAATGTTTTTAAACAATAAGTGATGGTGACTCATCTAAATGGAAGCCTGCAACTGTCCACTGATAGTTTTTAACAAAAGCATAGAAATAGCATATTAATAGAGCAACACAATTTTCATGAATGTTTTTAAACAATAAGTGATGGTGACTCATCTAAATGGAAGCCTGCAACTGTCCACTGATAGTTTTTAACAAAAGCATAGAAATAGCATATTAATAGAGCAACACAATTTTCATGAATGTTTTTAAACAATAAGTGATGGTGACTCATCTAAATGGAAGCCTGCAACTGTCCACTGATAGTTTTTAACAAAAGCATAGAAATAGCATATTAATAGAGCAACACAATTTTCATGAATGTTTTTAAACAATAAGTGATGGTGACTCATCTAAATGGAAGCCTGCAACTGTCCACTGATAGTTTTTAACAAAAGCATAGAAATAGCATATTAATAGAGCAACACAATTTTCATGAATGTTTTTAAACAATAAGTGATGGTGACTCATCTAAATGGAAGCCTGCAACTGTCCACTGATAGTTTTTAACAAAAGCATAGAAAATAGCATATTAATTAATAGAGCAACACAATTTTCATAGTATGTCAAAGTAAGTGTTTAAAAAAGGGCACCCATCTTCTTTTAGGCTGGCCAACGGCAAATTTTGCCAGCACTAAAAAGACATGTGACAGCCATTCGCCAGAAGCTGTGTGTAACTCGCCGGACTTGCAGTCATGACAAGCTGACATTGTTAACCCAGTCTTGCACTCCGGACAATATACCAAATACACAAAGCTTGCAAGTCTTTGCCCCACCACTCAACTCACAGCACCCTTGAAGCTTCGACCTTCCATTTTTTGCATACTCGCTTTGCTCATCAATTAATAGCCGGAGCCTCAGTAGAGCAAAATAGTATTGGCCATACCCAAATTATTATTGAGGCCCTGTTAGGGTAAATTCCGACAGGCGACATGGCGTTGAAACGGCGACATGGGAGAGCTGAAATGGTGACAAGCGAAACCAATTTTGGTTAAAATTGCGACAGCGAATTGGAAATAACAAAAAATGACAGCGAATCGTGTTATTCCTAACATGCGACAGTGGCACTGCGTTATTTGTAGCTATTTGTACCTTTGACACCTTTCCACGCATAAGAAATTATATTGAAAATAGTTTTGTAAAATCGCAAAACGCATCGAAAATGTTTCTGTGATTGATGACATTGATCAGCGGTCATCATAAAAACACAGAACGGTATACTGCCTATACTATATATAAGTCGGTGTGAAAACACCACAACAATGTCAACAAAATGTTTAAAAATGACAAAATGTCATTGGCAAAGTACAGTTTTCAGGCGTTAGTAAGCGTAGAGTAAATTATGTCTCCTAACACTACATGTCTCGCCTCGTAACATATTGTTTTTGATACACAATCGTGAAATAGTCAACAGTCCTGGTTGATGCAATCGAATTTTTGGTTAATGGACCCTATTAAGAAATAACATACATGGTTAAATGACGTGAAATAACGACAGGGACATACCCAACTCCTCAAATCGTGACATAACAAATTTTGAAATTCAGACTGGCGACATTAGTACCCCCTAACAGGGCCTCATTATTAGCCAGGATCATTCAAACGGATACCTGAAGGGCTGAAAGCCAGTGAAAGGGTGTCCAAATCTGCTATAGGAGGTCCATATCTATTAGGAGATTAATTGGGCCTGGGGGTCCAAATCCGCTGTGATACCGGGCAGTGATTATTAGTTGGACTGGTTGCTGATGAACTACTACTAGGTATGTATAAGTGATGAAAAAAATTGAAAAACAGCTCAACTAAATTAAAATATGCAACAAATAGCGTACCAAGAACTTTCTATAATATTCAAGTGGTTGTGCGGTCCTAAAAAATAAATAAGATTGACGGAAATCATACCAGAACAAGATAAGAATGAAGCAAAACTGAGAAATAAAACAAGATAACAAAATCTTACTTAAAATCTGCCGCCATCTTGAAAATCACGCTGACCAGTGACCACAACGTACCGTGGTCGCCAAAATTTTCTGGGAATTTCAATTTCTGAATATTTTCACCGAAGAATTGAACCCTATTCTCAGTATTCTGTTTAGTTTACCAATGGCTTTCAAAGGAAAGGAAGATTGTTTTGGTTGTAAAATGCATCTCCAAGCACCTTATATAAAATGTGTTGAATGTTCAACATTGCTATGTTTACATTGTTTTGCCCAGGGATATGAGACAACAAGCCATCAGAATGATCATTCTTATGAAGTAATCTCTTTAGATTTCTCTCTTATTGAAAATACTTGGACTGCATCAGAAGAGTTGACATTACTGGACTCTATTGCGGAATGTGGTCTTGGCAATTGGAGTGACATTGCATGTCGAATCAGAACAAAAAGTGCGGAGGAATGTGAAACTCATTACTTAGATAACTATATCAATTATCCACAACAACCATTGCAGAGAATTCTTCAACATACAACTCCTGAAATTCATAACTTCTACCGAATGATACCATACGAGCCAGCCGATGATCCACCCAGGCCAAAAGATGACCCTGGCCAAGCTATAGATGTGGCACAATATATGCCATGCCGAGGGGACTTTAACGTTGAGTATGATAACTTTGCTGAATGCGATATCAAGGACGTGGAATTTGATTGTGAAGACACAAATGATGAAGAACTGAAAGTTGCTGCAGTTGACATTTACCTTTCCCGTGTGAAGGAACGATGCTTTCGCAAACGAATTATCAAGGATCATGGTTTAATAAATGTCCACAAGACAGAACTTACTGAACGAAGCCTTTCAAAAGTTGAAAAAGACTTGAGGGATAAACTGAAGCCGTTTGCAAAGCTTCGTACAGCTGAGCAACATGAACAGTTTATCCAGGGTTTATTATTAGAAGATTCGTTGAAGCAAGAAATATGTGAATTACAACATTACCGAAGTGTTGGTCTGACATTGAAAGATAGTGCTAAGATATATGAAATATCACGACGGGAAAGAATAAAGCATGTGAACAAGGGAAATATGCTTAATGACATCTTAAGTTTGCTTGAAGATAAAGTCGCTTGCCAGACTTGGTTACAAAAACAAGCCATCTCTCAAAGCTTGGTTGCTGTTTCTTCATTCCCAATACCATCGTTAGGACGTAAACCTGCCACAAGGTTGGACATCACAGGCACACCTGGTGTGGAAAGATTGACCGAGGAAGAACGAGAATTGTGTTCAAAGCTGAGGTTGTTGCCTCATTCATACAATCACTATAAACAGATGTTGATTAAGGAGAATCAGTTATTAGGATCTCTGAAGTTAGCGCAAGCAAGAGCTCTTATCAAGATTGATGTGAACAAAACAAGAAAGCTGTATGACTTTTGTGTAAGACATAACTGGATCACCAGATGTGACAACTAGTATATGTTCAGGGACAGCAGAACTGCACAGGGGGGGGGGGCAGGTGAGCCATGGTTCTTCCACCTTTTGTAACCTCCCACCCTTTGTAACCCAGTTTTGATTAAAATAAAATTGCTAAACGATATAACTCGGTGCTTTTATTAATTTCAGAAATAAACATGTTTCCAGTATTAATAAATGTCAGAAAACCAGTAAACTTGCAAAACTGATTTTCAGCTTGTTAAAAGTTTGCTACCAGTGGAACAGTTTGGCGAAAGTTTTTTTGTGCTTGGTTGAAAAGCAAAAAAATTTAGAGCCACAGCCACTTGAATTATGAATTGTTTGAAACTGGGGAGCATGTGCTCCTCCCCATGTGCCCCCCCCCCCCTTTTCTGGGCTAGAAAGAAAGTGCCCTTTTTGCAGCAGTAAAGACTCTGTAGACGCCGTATTCTAAAAGCTCACTCACACTCAATGAGTGGAGGTTCAATCTGAGCTTCTCTTGAGTGTCAATGCTGTTTTTGAATAGATGGAGGGTGAGTAGTCACTTTAATAGTAAGGTACGACACTAACCCTCCAACTATTCAAAAACAGCATTGACACTCAAGAGAAGCTCAGATTGAATCTCCACTCACTGAAGCCGTGTTTACACTACGAGCCTAAGCCTGGCCTAGCTTTGAACTAGATTTTTGCAGTGTAAACGCACTTCGGGTTGGCCTAGGCCAGAAAATCTAGGCCACCTGTTCTGATGGGCCCAGATTTCCTGGCCTAGACCAGACCGAAGTGTGTTTACACAACAAAAATCTAGTCCAAAGGTAGGCCCAGGCCAGGCTTAGGCTCGTAGTGTAAACACGGCTTGAGTGTGAGTGAGCTTTTAGAATACGGGCGAGTGACTCCATATATTTTCAAAAATTTTCGTCCGGCTCGTGAGCGACATAAAATCATTTGATTTTGATTTTGGACATTTTCGCCAATGTCCCTCCACTTTCGAAATGCTTCCGCAGCCTTTGGGCTTTGGCGCGGGATCTCCAAACACGAGTTATTAATAAAAAATTCGCTTTATTTTGCCGTGACTTTTTATTTTGCCCTGCCTGAGTTAGTTTCGTTTTGCCGTGAGTTAACTTTATTTCCCCCTGACTTTATTTTTGTTTTGCCGTTGCAGTTAATTTTATTTTGCCGTAGACTTGGATCAAGTCCGTCTCTCTTGAGTCCGAGGGAGGGCGCGAGGTGCAATAACGCGGGAAAGTTGGAGGGAGATTGTATTAAAGAGTAGATACGGTTCGGCTGCTACTGTACCCAGCTTAACCCAATTAGAGCCAGAGCTGTCCCCTCTTGCTTTAGACAAATTAAGTTGCATTGTACCCCAATGTGCCCTACTTTATTATTTTACTCTGTCTAAACACCAGAATACCAGATGATTTTATTCATCAGGGGCATGGGTTAATTTATTCAGAAATAATGGCACTCCGTATCATATTTAAAAATAGGTACGCTAAGCGTACATGTATCTGCTCGTGGTAATTGCATTGTTGCCAAGGAGTTCAATTGTAAAAATTTGATGAACTTGATGTTTAGTGAATATATTTTTTCTATAAACATTACAAATATATATTATGCACAGTTGACTATAGTTAAATGATCGAGAGAATAGATTTATACACTGTACAGGGTTCGTATGTATCAGCAAGTTCAAGGACTAAATACTGAAGAAAAGGGGTTAGAAATCAGTAAAATCTGACGTTGAATTGTTCAAAACGCAACTTTAATGAGTTTCGAACAGCTTTGTCAGACAGTTTGTTATACATTTTGAATTTTGGTGTTTAAAAAAAAACACATATACATTATATTATTCCACATTTTGAGCAAAAACTGGAACTTCATGCTTGACACGCATGCGTATTGCACCCATTTTATTATTGACCGGTCAATACATGTTTGATTGCGGACCGATTGCCGAACATGACGTTTTGTGGACCGGCACGTGACACGGTTTTGACCAATCGGTAAACAGAAAAATTGAACTTTGACACTAACTATATAACAAAACAATTTACAATTTGGTGCGCTATTCTGTGGCTACGAAGTTCATTATGTGTTACGCCTGTAAACCTGTAGTATTTTAGTCATTGTGTTTTAACGGGAAAGTGTTTTATGAAGTGCGCATATATTTCTTAGAGTTTAGCTGTTTATATGGTCTCGAGTACAAGGGACACTCTACCCCCCAAGACAACTTTACTGCACGTCATAGTATATGAGAAAAATTTATAGCCCTGGCACTGAATCCCCTCCTACGAGTGAATCCCCCCTGTGACTCCTGAAACATGCAGTTATTTGTTTGAAGGCCTGGGAATCAGGGAATGAAAAGTTATCCATGCATGGAGGTCGAGACAAACTGTTTACATATGGACAACGTGTATACTACTTGTACAACACGGATTATTGTACTAACAATAATACTAACAATAATAACTACCGTATACTAACAATAATGTACTAACAATAATGTACTAACAATAATAACACGGATTATTGTACTAACAACGTGTATACTACTTGTACAACATTATTGTACTAACTCTTGACGAAGGGCCTTCGCTCGAAACGTCGAGTTTCTGCTTATTTTTTAAGGTAGTAATATAACCACTCAGCACAGCATTTTCACATTGGTACTACCTGCACTGGTACAGACAGTTTTAGTATTTTTTAAAGTTGCATATTACCATAGTCCTATCGGCTTAACGTTCCGTGGAGCGTCTTGTTATACAGAAATTTACATACAAACGCGCCCAAAATTAGAATTTGCGAAACTACTGCACTCGTAGCATACTTTCGATTAGCTGAGGTTATGGGCACTTGACAAAAATGCAAGTTGGTAATGCAGAAAACTACACAAAGCTAAATTAAGTTAAAAGTTATCGTCAATTGCTTTGATACTGTGACTAAATGACTCCAGCTACAGTTCAAGCCGTTCAACAAACTACACAAAGCTATCTTAAGTTAAAAGTTATCGTCAAATGCTTTGATACAGTGACTAAATGACTCCAGCTACCATTCAAACCGTTCAACAAACTACACTAGAAAAAAACCGGCATTGTAGCGTTGAAATTTATCAAACATCAAAAATGTTTCATTTATCAAATTTCCAAAGATGTAATAGTCACAAAACAAAAAAATTGTATGGTATAGCATCAAGGGACCGCGGAGCCTGTTTAAAAGACAGTGGGGGCAAAATAGCACGCCACGCAGGCAGGCTGGATTTTATCCGGTATTTTTTATACACCGAAAAACTAGAGAGGCCATGGCCCCCCGTGTTCCGCGGTCCCTGCGTGGGCAATTTCTTTGTCAGGAAAACAAAAAGAAACTTATCAAAACCTCTTACGAACAATAGAAAATAGGCGTGATATAAACAACATAAGAACCTCGTGCTCGGTCTTTCATTCAAATTCAAGAAAAGAATTTCAATGAAAGACCTCCCACTCGGTTGTTATCTTAAATACTGTATATAATAGGCAGTGTGACCATATTCAGTATATTTTTTACTTTTGGTAAAATTTCGACAATTTTGATAGAAATTTGGTAAAAAAGATTTTTTAGTAAAATTTTGGTAAAATTTCTTAAAATGCAAGGATTTGGTAACTTTTTTGGTAAAATTCTATTAAAACGTTTGATTATGACCAGAAAACCCTGCAAAGTGCGAAGTACATGCCTTCCTGATGCTGTGGCGATGGCTCACTTCTGAATCGGAGCCTGTGTTCTGTTTGCTCATTGCATGCTTCAGGTACGTCATTTAATTTGTCACCTCTTTTGAACGAATAACATGAAGTAGCGCGCGCAGCTGAAAATTGGGCCGTTTGACCAATTTCATTTCGAAATTGCAAACTTACATTTAAAAATATGGATTTAATGGATTTAATGGACCCCCCCAGGAGTGGGCTGGGTAAAATCCAAATCTGGTAAAATTTTGGCCTATTTAGTAAAATTTTAGCAAAGGTTTAGTAAAATCCACTGACAAACATCTGGTCACACTGATAATAGGAGAATTAATAAAGTTGGCCATTCTGTATCACACTGTTATACGGCATGTCCGACCGACTCTAACGGTTTAGAAGAAACTCAGAACGAATCGCGGCAGGAGTAGACCGGCTCAATCTACCAACAATATTCAACCCTAATTCGCTTGATTTGTTTACCGAACTGAGTCAACGATGAACTTTGTTGCACTGTCTTTGTCCAGCCACTCAAAGAATATTTGAAACCCTGCCCGGAGCATTGAATTTTGCAGGTTCTATTTTTACTTGTAATCATTGTCAGAAATAACCGGTTGTAATGCTAGGCGCCAATTGGGATTCATGCAATCCAGCCAATTAAACAGCTGACAAACCGTTAACCAATCATGATTGAGCATATGATTGCGATACCGGTTGCTCTGAGTGTGCCCGCACTGGGCAAGCGGAACGTTTGCTTGACCACGGTGGGAATCGAACCCGCGACCTTTGATTTACTGAGTCCAATGCTCTACCAACTGAGCTAGCAAATGTTCGATTCCCACCGCGGTCAAGCAAACTTTTCGCTTGCCTGGTGTGAACACACTCAGAGAAACATCACAATCATATATCTTCACCTCAGGATACAACACCAGAAACACGAATTCATGATTGGGCATATCAGTGTGTTTCCAGAAGTCCTCATTTGGCTTCTTTTTGGCTTCTTTTGAAAAGTTGTTTGGCCTCTTTGACGTACATGTTAAGCTGAAACAGATGTTGCTGAAATACGGCTCAGGTAAATCAGATTCTTTTTGCAACTACGAAGGTAGTCGTCGCCCGGGAAAATTTCGATAGTGGCCATTTTGAATTGTTTAATTTTCCCGGGCGATGACTACTAAGACCAGCATTCGTCGCGGGCATCAAGCCTTGTGACGTCATTATGCATAAGGTCTATTGAGATGGCTGAGGATTACCTGAAAAATAGAAGTAAAATTCAACATTCCGAGCAAGGCCCCTGACTAGGGACGAGTGAGGCGAAGG